CCCTGCTACTTGCATGACCTGCCGGTCTCTCTCTCCTGTTTACAGGAGGTACTTCAACATGCCCGTGCTTTCACTGAACCAAAATGCACGTCCTGGACCGAGCCACCGGCCTCAGTGGTTCTGGGCTGTTGCGCATGCTGCTACCCCCTACCTGGAAAGGTGCCTCCCCCCTCCCCTATCCCGTTTAGTTGGTTACTTCCTACCTTCAAGATACAGATCAAGCAGCACCTGTAGGAGAAAAGTCTTCTGTGAAGTGACGTGGTCTGCTCAAGTGGTCCTTCTGTGTGCCAGGGTGTTGGTCACAGGTGGTTATCACCCACTAGCGTCTAAGCTCTTTGAAGCCCGAGAATCCCATTACAGTGCACATGGACAGACTCGCACACTGCATCTGTACCGTAGGTGGGGTACCAAAACTGAACGCTGGATTAGATCTCATTTCAAAGAAAAGCAATGTCTCCTGTTCAATATTGCTGAAACCCAGGCTAGAAGTTTTTCTCTTTTGGAAAAAAACATCTCTTTATGGATGTGTTAGTAAGTAGGTACATTTTGTATTTTTTCTAATTTTGGTAGTTAACTACCAGAAGAGATGAGAAAATAACACAATTCAAGAGAAACAGGGAGCGTAATTTGAGGTCCTAATCAACATACTAAAGTTGGATAATAAAAATCTTGACATTTAAAAAAAATAAAAAATTCAATTTGTAATTTTCCTATATATTATAGAACATGGGTGTTTGTTTAATAGACATAGGCCATCAAATATACTGTGCTGGGTTGCAAAAACGGAGTTCTCATCCTATGGAGGCTATTTTAAGGCCACGACAAAGCCATTATATTGCTCATCTTGACAACAAAAAAGAATTATGAATTATAATACAGTTTCTATGAATGATGTCTTTCTTCAAAGTCCAATGAACCATAACGAGGCAATTTTTAAAAAGCTGTCCTAGAAAATCATATTTTCTTTTCACTACTATTCAGGATTTTCCAACTTTCCCTTAATGCACGTGAATTACTTTCAGAGAAAAAATTTTAAAATCATCAAATTTCTATCAAAATTTCTATTAAGTTTGTGCTATTCAATAAAGGCACGGTCACATCATCTGCTATTTCAAGAAACTAATAAAGCACACGAGTGGAAGCTCAATAAAATCTACAGTCTGACGATTTGTTTGGCTAGCTAGACCTCAGTCATCAGAACAACTCCTGATGCTTGTTTAAGCACACGAGGGCTACTGAAAGAGAACCTGACGCTTAAGAACCACTGATGTGATATCAAAGCCCTTCTTTGAAGGGTGTAAAATATATTAAACATTATAAAGTATATGTAGATCTTAAAGAACTATAAAATGAACACTTACATACTTAACACCCAGTCAAGAACTAGAACAGGATTGTTGAAGCACCCAGGGTCCCTCCTAGATTGCGTTCTCTCCTAGAAGTGATCACCAGCCTACGCTCTGCATTAATCATGCCTGTGTTTTTGTTTTGCCACACATCGATCTCCTAACAATATTGTGTTCTTTGCTTTTAGGCTATATATAAGTGGCATACGTATTTACACACATGCCCCACCCTTGATAACTTAGTTTTTTATTCTTAACATTATATTTGAGATTCAGTCCTCCTGATACATGAATAGATCATTTTCACTCCTGTACAATATTCCATTTTATTTGGTCTATTGGTGGCCCTTTAGACTATTTTCAGCTTTTTTTCTCTCCAGGTACAAATAATGCTTCCATAAATATTCTTTTGTAAAGATTTAAAAATTTTACTTATTTGAGAGAGGGAGAGAAGGAGCATGAACGGTGGGAAGGAGCAGAGGCAGAGGGACAAGCAGACTTTGTGCTGAGCGTGGAGCCCAACACGGGGCTTGATCCAACAACCCTGAGATCATGACCGAGCCAAAATCAAGAGTTGGATGCTTAATCAACTGAGCCACCCAGGTGCCCCGTTTCCATTAATATTCTTGTAATTGTTTTCCCTTGCATATTTGTACAAGCATTTCTTTAGGGTAAAATTGTTGGTTGCAGGGACTACATACTTTTAAAATTTATTAAGTAATAAATTATTTTCCAAGACAGCTATACCAATTTGTCCTCCTACTACAATTTCATGAGATTTCTTGTTGCTCCCTGCTCTCACCAATTACTATCAGACTTTTGGGGGCGCCTGGGTGGCTCAGTTGGTTAAGCAACTGCCTTCGGCTCAGGTCATGATCCTGGAGCCCCAGGATCGAGTCCCGCATCGGGCTCCCTGCTCAGCAGGGAGTCTGCTTCTCCCTCTGACCCTCCCCCATCTCATGCTCTCTATCTATCTCATTCTCTCTCTCAAATAAATAAAATCTTAAAAAAAAAAACTTGTACATTTTGTCATGTGGTTTTAATTTGCATTTCCCCATTTTCTTCTAAAAGTTTTAAAGTCCTGCCTTTCTAAGTTCTTGACCCATCTAAATTTTATTTTTATGCATGAAGTTATATACTTACCTATTCTTTTCAGATTTCCCTTTTGTTTCTCATGGTTAAAAAAAGAATTTTCAAAAAGAGATTTTTTTCTTCCCGTTATCTCTAACCCTACCTCTTTTGAGGATACTCAATGGATTTATCAAAGAATATGAACAGAGCTACAGAGAATATACTTTCTAAAGATCAAGAATATAGGGAGTTATTACTGGACATAAAACTCCAGTAGTTCACATGAGGCCAAAAACTGTTGAAAATTTACTAATCCTGCTTTCTATGTCCTATAAAGAGAAACCCAGGTTAGAGTAATAATGGTTTACGAAATTTCATACATAAACATAACTTTAAAAGTTGATAGTATCCAACCATGAAATTATGATCACTGAATCTTTAAAACAGGTGAGGCACTGAGATTTTGAAACTTGGTATTTAATATTAAATATGACATATTGAATATGGTACAAATTATAAACTATTTTAGACAGCTGAAGCATAATCTCCAGTCTACAGAGTAGTAAGAATATACTAACTCACATGGCATCTTCATCAACATTACTAAGCACTCAATGATGAGACAGACTCACTAAAAATCAGTATCTGTAACACAGACAATCTCAGTGCTGGGCTAGGCCCACATAAAAGTGGATGAACGTAAAGAGGCAACAGACAAAAGGAAATGCAGCCTTTTAACAAACATGAATAGGTACCCAACCTCAGAAGCCATGGAACAAATGTAAATTAAAATAATAATGAATAACTCTGAGTGTCACAAATTGGCAAGAAATAATTTTAATAAGCCTGACCAATGTCAGTGAGGGTGTTGTGAAATGAGCATTGTCATACATTGACTTCGGGTGGTGTATATAATCCTTTTGCAAAGGTAATTTGAGGCAACCTGCATTGTAGGCTTTAAGGGTATCCACATTTTTTTAATGAAATTTAACTTTATGGAATCGATCCTAAGGAAATAATCTGAAAATCAGAAAATCTTACTGCACTAAGATATTCATCGTAGTGTTGTCCCACATACACATACATGCAGTAGCAGAAATGGAAATAGCTCAGCAGTGGTTTAGATACATCATCTCTGGCCACACACACACGAGGGGCTGTTAGGTAGCCATTAAAAATAGTCTCTGTAAAACATTTCCGTATCTGCTGTCCGTATAAAGAACAAAATCTAAAATTGTTTAAATTATGTTAAAAGAAAACAAGCAAAATATGCCTACAAGTTGGAAGAAAACAGTAAGACAGTAACTGTGCTTGTCTGAATATTTTTCCTTCTTTCAAATTTTTTTCAAAACAAAAATTCCATGAGTTCATATTGCTTGTATAATAGACACATACCAAATGAAATATAATTTTATTATTAAAATCAACATGAGAGGCGCTGGGTGGCTCAGCTGGTTAAATGTCTGCCTTCAGCTCAGGTCATGATCTCAGGGTCCTGGGATCAAGCCCCTCCTCGGGCTCCCTGCCTAGTCGGGAGTCTGCTTCTCTCTCTCCCTCTGCCCCTCCCCTCCCCCACTCATGTTCTCTCTCTCTCAAATACAATTTTTTTTAAAAATTAAAATTTACATGAAAACTACTCCATGTTTTTTGATGTGGTGTCTATTAGCAGCAAAAGAGTAGAAGACATGTATCATTCACTGAAGCTGTACATCGGCTTCTGACAAGCAGAAGATGGGGGGATTGTTGTAGCTTGTGTGTAACTCACTTCTAGCTATAGTTTCAAATAGATGTGCATAAATATGATCATAGGAAACTAAGGAAAACACTTCATTGCACTGAGGAAAATCTACCCATCACCCAACCCACAGTGTTCACTCATAGTCTTCACATTTCAAAAAATAAACAATAAAATAAATGCAGGGAAGAAGCCAATAGCATTATTTGTACAAAAGCAAGCTGTAGCCCAGTATTCCTATTTATTGACACAGAACAAAGGTAGAACTGTTTGAAATTCTGAGATGAAATAACCTACCATGTAACTTGGTATTACTAAACTGGTTATTTAGCGGGCAGGGAGAATGAGCATATGGAACTAACGTTTGTTGAGTGAATATCTACATGTGCCGAACACTTTTAACACACTATCTTACTAATCCTCATCATGACACTGCCAAGAAGGTAGTGTGAGTTCTAATTTCCAGGTGAAGAGACTGAAGCTCACAGTCATGCAACATGACCAAGCTTAATTAGCACAGTGCCTGGCATACAGTAAGTACTCAATAAATATCTTTTGAATGGATGGTAGATAATACACCCAGTAAATAGAAGTGCCAGGATTTAAAATTAGACCCACCTGGTTACAAAGCCCACACTATTTCCATCACAGTACACTGCCTTCTGTGTAAGATGATGCAGAATTGTTTTTAAATGGCTAAGAAAGATCATTGCCAGTGTAAACACAGTTAATAAATTCAGGCACCTGTGATTTCTACCTTCATATCAGAATTATTTCAATGTCAAAATGTATGCTGGGGAAAGGATGAGAAAAGATAGAAAACACACAGGAGGATCTTCAAGGGCTTTTTTAATTTTCAAATATACATAGTACATGAAAGTAACACAATCCATATTAATACATTTTATCTGTATGGAATACTTAACTAGTTAATACTATTCTTCCCTTTTTGTTGTTGAATTCTACCAACTTCTTCAAAAACTATTTTTTATGACAACACCATCAAAAATGTGTTAATTTTATGAATGTTGCGTTTTATATATCTTTTTTCCTTCTTTGCCCCACATACCAAAACAAATTATTTGAAAATGTTAAAATAAGTAAAACATGGCATACTTTCTTAGCTGCTTTGCATCCTGTTAAAATATTTTACAACTATAAAAGTTGAAAATAATTTTATTGGTTTTCCTATATATAAATCCACATAAGTACACTTTTATAAAATACTTTATTAGCTAATACAGCTCTTCTTTTAAAAAAAATTCTACCAACTTCTTTAAAATATTTCCTATGAAAACATCATCCAGAATGTTTTAGTTTATATGAATGTTAGATGTTAAGTCTCCTTTCCTTCTTTGCCCCATACCTAGGCCCAAACAAATTATTTGAAAATACTGATAAAATGGGGCATGCTTTCTTAGAAGTTTTGTATCCTGTATTAAAATATTTTACAATTATAAAAGTTGAAAAATAATTTTATTGGTTTTCTTGAATATAATCTCCTACCTACTATACATGAACTAACCTATAGAATTAAGTCATTTTGTTTTCCCAAATGTGGAGGGTCAAGAACATAAGGGAATTACAAAAACTCCAAGATGATTAATTTAAAGTAGACAGATATTAAAATACTCAGATGTAGCATAGTCACTGTCTCTCAAGCAGAGAAAGTGTTTATCTTTGCATCTGGCAACATATTCAAGATAACTATTTCCCACTTTCAAAGCATTATTGTTGCATAGGTTTTATATTGGAGGAGGAGATTTATAAAACATCAATTTCCTCATCCAAAACCAAAGATAAATGAGGATTCAGAAATATGTTATTATGAAAGATGATGATCAGAAAGATGGTAATCAGAAAGAAAGACTATGTCCAATGAGCTATAGGGCTGTCAAGATGAAAAATGCCTTTGCTTCATTCAGGATCTAGGATCTAAAAATCTCATATGATAAATTTAGCTGGATTTTCTTTGCTGATTATGTTTTAACTCCCAAATTTGGCCATGTACCATAGCAATTTTTATTTTACCTGGATGTTAAAAGAAAATCCACTGGATTACAAAGACAGGTTAATAACCTGTTGAACTTTGGTTGGGAATTAATCAATAAAAAATACTTATCTGGTTGAGTAAACAAGTTTCAAGAGATTCAAAACATTACAAAATAAGTTGTTTTTGAAAATATTTAACTTGAAATGATAAAAAAAATATTAAAAGCTATTGAAGATCTTTCCCGAGGGCTAATAAAAGCAAAAACAACCTTAATAGCCACATGGTTACACACAAATTTCCTCACAGAGGTATAGAAGTTGTGATTAGCATCAGGATTTTAAGGAAGTGTCATTTCAGAAACTGCATTAGTCTTTTCTAAGTGGTTTAAAGAGTCTGAGCTGATACATGCTGGTACTAGAGAAAATCTGAAGCACCTAGTTGAATACAAAAGGACTTACATAATACCTTTCATTTATTGAATTTCATTGTTCTTTTACATATATTTTTTCTTTAGAACTTTTAAGATGGACATTTGGTTTATGCAGTATGAAATGATTTAATCATTTAAAGAACAAGCTTAATAAGGCTGACATTCAATGGAAAACAATGAAATAATTTACCTTTTAATAATGAGAATAACTTGAAATCATTTTTATTATCTTCTTTTTAAGGGTCCCTTATTAAAGCTTGTGATTTTTATTAACATAAATAAGGCAAAGTGATTGCTTTCTACACACAGTGTGATGGGTTGTCTTGTTTTCAGTTAACCTTTAGTACTCTGTACATACTATTTTGAAATACTGTGGTGAAGTAAGGCCTCCCGTCCTTGAGCAAGATGCTACATAAGGGAGGATTAGCTGTATTGGAAGGGTCTTCCACATCCCAAATTTCCAGCATACTGCAACCAGGCCTAAAAAAAAAAAAAAAAAGGCACATATATATCCATATTAAAAATGCATTCATATACAGGGAGAATACATAAAGTAGGTCTTTTTCGAGACTATTTTTTTTAAAGATTTTATTTGAGAGGGAGAGAGACAGAGATAGCAAGAGAGAGGCACGAGTGGGGAGGAGAGGGAGAAGCAGGCTCCCCACTGAGCAAGGAGCCGGATGCGGGGCTCCATCCCAGGACCCAGAGACTAATTTATTTAATAAAGATTTTAAAGCATCATTTCAAAAAATTTAAGTTCAACACTTAAGGATAAAAATGAAATTAAGTATATGTTGCATTTTCATGTTCCACTTAACTAAATAACCAATATATTATTAAACTTAACAGTAAAGGTCCAATATACATTCAGAAATACATATTTAAAAATATATTTTCAAAACGAAATATAAATATATTTTCTAAGTGGTATCACCATCCAAACATAAGGCCCATGAGTAGTAGGAGACAAACTGAAGGAAAGCTAATCTAATTCCTGATGAATTTCATATTTTGGGGCTTCACCTAACTTAGATTAGCATGAAAACATATAGTCCAAGGCAAGGAAGGAAAGCTCTTGTTTGCCAGATTTGTTCTCCTCCACCCTTTCCTATTTTGGGTGGCTCTATGATTGGACTGACTGGGATACTAGTTCTCACTAGGGAATATCCTTGCATTAGAGGCAGTAAAGGGAAGAAGTCAGGCAAAATTGGCTATTATTTTTAACAGCTATATTGAGGAATCATTTATGTACAATAAAATGCACCCATGTATAAAAAAAATGCACCCATTTATGAGTAAAGTTTGATAAATACAGGGAAATGTCTATGTGAGTGTGAGTGTGTGAGTACCACCATAATCGTAATACAGAAAATTCCCAGCACTGAAACAAGTTCCCTTGAGCCCTTCTGCAGTTGGTCCCCTCGCTCCAACTTAGCCCAGGCAAACACTGATCTTTCTGCAATATAGTTTTGCCTTATCTAGAATATTCCAGATGTTTATACTCACTGCAGCTTTCATATGTTACTCACATGATAACAATATCATCCCTTTTCCTTCAATCTATACATGTATTTGTATTTAAAATGCACGTCTTACAGGCGACACATAGTTGGATTTTGCTTTTGTATTCAGTCTACCAATCTTTGCCTTTTGATTGGAGTGTTTTGTCCCTATTCACATTTTTTATTACTGATACTGTTTGACTTAGGCTTTTTTCCCTTTTTTCTGTTTGTTTCCTCTCTTTTTTGATTGTGTTTCTCTTTCTTGACTTCTTTTATGTCAGGCAAAAAGTTTTACTATATCATCTATTTCATTTATTGGCTTATGCATTCTTTTTTTTTTTTTTGCCTTTTTTTGCGTTGCTCTAGATATTAAAACAGGCATCTTCAATGTACCACAATTTACTTAACATTAAACTCGGATTATTTCTAGACAGTCATACATTCTATTTTCATTTATTCCCCTTGCTTGTGCTATTGCTGTCTCATATATATGACTTATAAACTCAAAAATATAATGTATCATCTTTGCTTTAACTAGTCACAGGATTTTAAAAGATTTTCAGAGAGCAAATATATATATACATATAGTGATTAATATTTATCCACATTTTTACCATTTCCAGTGCATTTTAGTCTATCCTGTATTATCTGAATTTTGAATTATCATTTCAATGTCAGTTGACTTCTTTTATTTATGAAGAGAAGTCAGATGTTTATCATATCATTCTTCTCTTGCTTTTTTCAAGATTTTCTCTTTTCTCCTTGTTTTTCACCAGTTTGACTATGATGTACCGTGGTGCAGATTTCCTTGGGTTAACCTAGCTGTGTTTGTTAAGCTTAACTGGATCTCTAAGTTAATGGCTTTCAGCGAATAAGAAATATTTGGCCAACATTTCTTCAGGTATTTTTTTTCTGCCATTTTTCTTTTCTTTCATTCTTTCTGTTACTATATTACCCATGTGTTGAACTATTTAATAACACACAGTTCTCTGTGGCTTTTGCTGTTCTTCAATCTTTTTGATCCCTGTTCTTTGGATTGGTTGCTTTTTCTTGAGTTACCTTCAAGTCATTGATTTGTTTCTGTTGTCATATCAAATCTCTTGAGAACTTTTAAAGAATTTTCCTTCATTTATTATTCTTTTCAGTTTTAGAATTCCCATTTTTTCCAGGGAGGATGCTTTGATTTCACTGTTGAGAATCAAATCTTGTCCCTTATTGATTATCATGTCTTCCTTTAGTTCTTTGAACATATTTTCCCTAATCCTTGAATATAATCATAACAGCAGCTCTGCAGTCTTTCCCTGCTCAATCCTACATCTCACACTATTTGAATCAGTTTCTACTAACTTTTTTCTTGAGTATTGGTCAGACTATCCCATTTTTTTGCAGGTCTGGTGATTTTGGGTTGGAAACTAAACACTGGAGAAAATACCTGGCAGTGAGTCTGGAATCTATTTTGTTCTTCTGATGACTGTTACTTTCTTGTTTCTGTTCTGGTAGATAATTAACTTGTCTGGATCTCCTGTCTTGTGCAGCAGCTATCTCTGCTCAGTTTTTTCAGATTCCAGCTACTTCTTTCTTTTAGCCCTGGGATTTTCCTTGTGTTTTTATCAGCCAAGGATTTGGGCAGAGTTATATTTGGAAATCCGTCTTCTCCGTATTTCCCTTGCTTTGGGGGTTTTCCCCAGAATGTGTAGTTGCTTTGTTATCCCTTATTTCTGCCCTGACACCTTGAACGAGTGATGACTCTGCTTTCTGCTTCCTAGGGTGTGTGCAAGTTGGGAAATGTACATGGTGAAAAGCACAGGGAATTTGCAAATCTCACCAGGAGTTCTCTTTCAAGAATAAACATCTTGGGGCACCTGCGTGGCTCAGTTGGTTAAGCACCTGACTCTTGGTTTCAGCTCAGGTCATGATCTCAGGGTGGTGAGACAGAACCCTATGTTGGGCTCTGTGCTCAGTGCAGAGTCTGCTTGAGATTCTCTCCCTCTCCTTCCCCTTCTGCTCCTACCCCTGCTCATGCTCTAAAATACATAAATAAAATCTTTAAAAAAATAAAAATAAAATAAATAAAAAGGATAGGTATCTTGCCCTAGTTTCCACCTGCCCTTTCCCAAGTTCCCAGAGGTTTCCCACAGGCATGTGTAGAATAGGTTTTAGGCAGAATTTATATTCAGATTTTAGATTTTGGTCTTTCTGTAGTGCTCTTGCTTCTAAAATGTCCCCTTCAAATATCCAGCTGCTTTGCTACTCACAGCTCATCTGTCACCATCTGTCCCCTCAAGCCAGTGGGCTGTGATCTTCTGCTATAATAGAAGCAGGGAGGGGATGATTTAGGAAGTGCTCTCAGGCAAGTTCACAAATTCAGAGAAGTCCTTCAAGAGCAAATGTTTCTAAGTTTCTCCCTGCTTTTGTGTCACTTCCCAGAGACTTCAAGTGGTTGTTTTTAATACCATTAAACCTAACTTTGGATGCATTCTGTTAATTGAAGTATATGCATATTGGAACTATGTCTTTGCTTTAAGTAGTGCCACGGTAACTCTTAAGACACAGTTCCAATTCACAGTTCCTTGATTTGAAGTCTACTTTGTCTTATTAAATTTTAAAATAATGTACACACATATTCACATGACATTGAGCTCCATGGAACCATGCAAAGCAAAACATAATTTTGACATGCTCAAGTTTCAGCTAATATAGTACCACACAAAGTGAAGAGTGCCTGTGTTTTCATCCAGTTCTTAAAACTGTAATCTCTGGGAGCAATAAGTCAAACTCTTCTTGCCAATATTAACTGAACTCCCTCCAAAACTGTTCCTTACGGGTCCTATGTTCAATTTCTTTGGGCCTTCGACAGACCAGTAGCTCTTAAATTCAGTTTGTCCAAACTATAAAATCCAATTAGCACTTTTCATTATTTTCTTTAACATAGCCTTAGGCCGTTAGGTAAGGAGTATGTAATACTTAATAGAACAGAGTTGTGAAGAAAAGTAGAAGAAGCCAATTTTGTAAAAAGAATTGCCTTGAGAGACAATTTGCTATTCCTTCTTTAGAACTTATTCCTGGTGTCTCAGAAGGCTATTAGTGATAGCTGTAGAATGATTTTCTAAGTCCCAGAATTTTAGAAGACTTCTTCTTTGCATAAATATTTATTTGTATATTTAGAGTAACTTTTTATTAGAGTACAATTACAGAAGTAAAAACGCACAGATCTTAGTGTACAGTTCCATGAGTTTTGACAAATGCATACACTCATATAAAAAACATGCCAATCAAGATAGTGAACACTGTCATTAATCTAAGAAAAAAAAGTTCTTGAATCCCTTTCCAGAGGGTATTTCCACCACCACCTCTACCCCCTGGCTCCACCATAGCCAACCACTATTCTGATTTCTGTTCCCATTAGTTTTGCATATTTTGAACTTCATAGAATGGAATCACATAGTATGTACTCTTCTATGTTTGGCTTCTTTCATTCAGCGTGTTTTTGTGATTCATTCTTTCTTCACACATCAGTATTTTGTTCCTTTTTATTGTCTAGCAGCATTCCATTGTATGAATATACTATAATTTGTTTATTCAGTTATCTCTTGATCATTGGGTTGTTTCCAGTTTGAGATATTACGAACATCCTCTATGGACAGATATTTTTATATCTCTTGTTTAAATTCCACAAGGAGTACAATTGCTGAGTAATAGGGCAAATATATGCTTAAATTTTTATAAGAAGCCTCCAAATACTTCTCCAAAGTGGTTGTATCATTTTTACTCCCATTAGCAATGTAAGAGATTTCTAGTTAATCTGCATCCTTGCCAATATCTGGCATTTCAGTTTTTAAGATTTTATCTGTTCTAGAGTATATGTTATAGTATCCCATTGTGGTTTTAATTTGCATATCCCTGGACACTGACAATATTGAGCATCTTTTCATGTATTTACTAGTCATCACATATTTTCTTTCATGAAGGATATCTTCCCAAGTTTTTGTCCATTTTCAATTGTATTGTCAATTTATTATTAATCTGTAAAATTTCTTCATGTAAAATATATATATCTCCTTTATCAGACACGCACTTTACAAACATTTTCTTCCAGTCTGTGGATTCCCTTTTCATTTTCTTAACATCTTCTGAGGAAAAGATTTCAATTTTGAGGTGTATGATTTATTGACTTTTTAATGGTTAGTGTTCTGTGTTCCAAGAAATCTTTTAATTTTAGCTTTTACATTTAGTTCTGTAATCCATGTCGAGTTAATTTTTGTGTATAGTGTAGTATGGGTCATGGTTCACTTTTTCTTCTGTACAGATATCCAGTTAGATCAGCAACATTGTTGAAAACACCTCTTTTTGCACTCAAGTAAAAAAGATATATATTATTTTTTAATTTCCTTTGTGGTTTTTTCTTTGACCCATAAGTTATCCATAAGTTTACTGCCTAATTTCCAAATATGTATGGATTTACCAGATATTTAGATTTCTAATTATTAATTTTTAATTTAATTCTGTATGACTTCAAATCTTTTAAGCATACCGAGCTATTTTTATGGCCCAGCATATTCTTCTCTTGGTGAAAATTCCATGTACCCTTTAAAAAAATGTGTATTCTGCAGAATGTATTTTTCTGTACTGTTCTTTTTTTTTTTTTTAAGATTTTATTTATTTGCGAGAGAGAGAATGAGAGACAGAGAGCATGAGAGGGAGGAGGGTCAGAGGGAGAAGCAGACTCCCTGCTGAGCAGGGAGCCTGATGTGGGACTCGATCCTAGGACTCCGGGATCATGACCTGAGCCGAAGGCAGTCGCTTAACCAACTGAGCCACCCAGGTGCCCTTTCTGTACTGTTCTATAAGAGTAATTAGGTCAGGTTATTTGATACTGTTTGATGTTTTTATCTTTTAATCCTTACACTCTTTTTATCTAATTTTCTCAGTAATAAAAGGAAAGTTAACATTTCCAACTATCATTGGAAAATTTGCTCATTTTTTCTTTATATTCTGCACATTTTTACTTTGTGCACTTTGAAGCTCTGTTTAGATATACACATTTTAGAACTGTTATATATTTTTGATGAATTAATCCTTTTGTCATTATAAAATGTCCATCTTTATTTGTGGTAATATGCCTTGATTTGAAGTCTACTTTGTCTTATTAAATTTTAAAATAATGTACACACACATCAACATTATGATGTTCCTGTTTCTTCTTTTATAAGGTGCCATTTCTTCCTAGATATATAATTATTAAAATTATATATTAAATATAGTATTAAAATTATATATTAAATTATAAATTTAATATATAAATTTATAAATAAAATTATAAATTAAATTATAGTATTAAAATTATATATTAAAATTAGCCACTAGAACTTATGAACCTCACTTTTCCAAAATGTTTTATGATCTAATTCCTAATTATCCATACGAGAAATGAAAATTCTTAATGTTAGACTTAATACAACTAAGAACCTCTTAAGTCAAGGAGTCTAAAAAAAGGCCTCAAGATATCCATTAGCCATTTTGGAATTTTGTGATTTTCAGAAATTAAAAATTATACTTAGGAATATTTTACTTACTATGACTTCTGGAGTTATCTGAAACTTTTCTCATAAATCTTATAACTTCAGTGTTATCCAGTTGTAGTAAAAGAATGCTAATGTTTCACACTGCTGTAAATTCAAATCTGTATTTCATACATCTAATACAAATTATCATAAGAATTTGAAAAAGTATGAAGGAAAGCAACATTATTTAAGATGTTAAATTAAAATGAAAAAATCTGGGAGCTAAAATACACTATAGTTTCTTGAAATTAGATTCTACTTAAATGATATTTACTTTCCTACATGAAATAATTTTAAATAAAATACCAGGATAATATTTTAATGGAATTTATTTAGAATAAAAATTCTTAAGGAATCACAACTATTGTAATAAAGTAAAACAGTTGTTGCTTAAAGATATAGCATAGGGCTCATACTCACTTAGTTCTCACAACACACCATGCCTCTTCTAAAATGTAATAATTCACATGTAACTCCAACAATTTCTCTCTCACTTCTTTTGCAGATTTTCGACTATATGTGGAATAAACTATTTTTGTGCGGGCCCTTTAAATTCAAAACACAAGTTAAAAATTTTTTTAATAAGTCATAATAGAATGGACTAAAGAAATTTTGCTAGTAAATTAAAATCTCAACACTCACTAGATGGAGCATTCATATATATGACCTCAAGGAGCATGAATTGTTTTGGGGATAGCCTAGATTATTTTTGGAGAGAAGTTTCCACCTTCCTACTTATACTTTGCATTTGCTAAAACTTACAGTGGTTTGAATTTTATATGTTATATGTACTGCTTGTTAGTGTTTACCAGAACAGACAGACATAAACTGGTTTAGACTCTAGACCTGGGTAGCAGGATAATAGTTCAGGATATGAATTTGCTTTGCATATGCATAAAATTAATCTGCTCACGGAACACATTCAGATAAAGGTGAACAGAGTGAAAACAGATTTTGGTAGATAATTTCACCTACTGAAATTACCCGAAAAGCATATGAATTGAAGTTGAAATGTAGCAAATCATACATTCAGAGGGCATCTAGTGTAGCAGTCAGGAAGGTTGACAAACAGGATTAGTCACCAAAATACGGTACAGCAGACAAGTTGGTCCTAAATAGGAGTTTTTATGAAATCCTGAATAATTACCATTTATGCACTGGATATTTCTTTTCTTTAACTTATTTTAAGTTCAATTAGTTAACATATAGTGTATCATTTGTTTCAGACATAGAGTTCAGTTATTCATCCGCTGCATATAACACTCAGTGCTCAGTACCTCACGTGCCCTCCTTAACGCCCATCACCCAGTGCCCCCAGCCCCCACCCAGCACTGGCCATTTCTTAAAATTTCAAACATATAAGATGTGCAATGTCCAAAACCAGATATAAAACTTTAAATGATTTAAAATTTTACCTCTAATAATAAGCCAAAGATGCATTAACAAGAAAAGATTACCCTGACAATGACTAAAATGATTAAAATAATTTTTAAAGGTATTTAAGGAAAACAAAACTTTCATACCTCAATGAAAACCAGAGTTCTCATAACTAGCTAGCAAAACACACCCTAAATTTTCATAAAAGCATGTAATATAGCTAATGTCATGTACTTTTTCTGTTAGAAAAGGTTAGTTATAAGGCTACCAGTAAGATAGAGAATGGTTTCTTAAATCAGGGGGAGGGGCTTGTGGGGTTCAGAGCAGGGGCCGGCAAACTATGGCCCTGGGCCAGATCCATCCCATCTCCTAGTACTAGTACTCAGCAGTTCTACTGGAACAAACAGACATACACAGCTTTGTCATGAATACGTGACATTTGCACTTTGAGAAAAACTAGCTTTTTTTCATTTTTCAGAGGTTTATTAAGCTTCCTTTAGAGTCGAAATGTACAAATTATGATTTCTGGAAGGTTCTTATATATTTTTAAACTTCCAGCATGAACATGAAGATGAGAGTGTGTGTGTGCATATGCAAATTTTTCCCTATTCTTAAGAGTCAATATAAGTTGTAAGCATGTCTGGTTGAAACATTCAATCAGTTGCCAACCTCAAGTCTGCATCCTCGTAATGTGGGTGATTCACAATGGGGTGAAGGGTAGACAGCTTGACACTGGCCATCGTAGGCATGGCACCTGCAAACACAGCATCTGAAAAACAAGGATATATTCCTTAGTGACATATTTTAAAGAAAACCAAAGATCATTACTTATCTATAATATTTGAACTCAAATTAAGAAAAATGAAATACATTTAAATAACCACCATTGGCATTATTCTTTTTCTTTGTTCAATACTGTCTACTATAACAGCTGACTTCTGTTATCTCTGTGCCAGGAACTGTGTTAAGTAAGTTTACTAGGATTAAACAATTTAATTTGCACAACTTTATGAAGTGGTTCTATGTTATTCTTACTTTGTAAATAAGGAAACTGAGAGCCAACAAAAGTAAGTGACTTGTCCAAGACTACACACCTAGGTGGCACCAGAGCCCACCCTCAGCCACTTCAGTACAACTTCCTGCCATGTTCAAGCTCAATGTAAAAGACAATACTACAAAAGCACATGTGACCAGAAAGAATTATAAATCTTCATATCTTGTTCTAATAATTTAAAATGCCAAGAACTGACAGACTGTTACAAAGGGCAAGTCTCATGCTACATCTTTTAAGGTGAAACTGTGAAGTGTAGTATCTTGGAAGACAAAAATGTTTACTTACCTTCTGGCACTTCTCTATAATAAATTATTATATAGTTTTGAAGGTCATTATCATTTTTTTAAAGATTTTATTTATTTATTCATGAGAGACAGAGAGAGACAGAGAGAGAGAAAGAAGCAGGCTCCCAAGGAGCAGGGAGCCCGATGCAGGACTCGATCCCAGGACCCTGGGATCATGACCTGAGCCGAAGGCAGACGCCCAACCATCTGAGCCACCCGGGCGCCCAGGTCATTATCATTTTTAATCAGCATAATAAAATTACGAATAAGAACAAGGCATGTCATTCACATCTACCGTAAAAAACTGAATGTTTACTTGCAAATATAAGTATTCTAAATGTAACTTCAAATGAAAATCTTCACATATGACTGAAATTTGAAGATATGTAAGTCAATCAGTGTAGAAATATGTATTTACTATCACAAGGTTCAGTAATTAACGATGGAAAGCTCTTAGGCTAATGCAGTGGTTCTCGACCAGATGGGATTTTATTTCCTAGGGATATATATGGTGGTCAGTTTCTGGAGACATTTTTGATTGGCACACTGTGGGGGAGAGAGGAGCTGTTGGCAACTTGTGGGTTGAGGGAAGGGATGCTGCTAAATATTCTTCAAAGCACAGGCCAGTCCCTAAATACCAATAGTGCCAAGGCTGAGAAAATGTGGGTTAGAGGGACCCAAAGCCCAGGGACACAGTTATCAGGAAGAAAGTATGTGGGTCTGTCCAGCAAGAGCAGGACTCACTGAAGAGAAACCATCTATGGCAGAGAGAGGGGGAGAAATACTCTGCACAGTCTTCACTCTTGATGGTGAGATAAATATGAACAAGATGGGGAAAGAATAGGATACTTTCCTATATGTTTACTGAAATCCTCACATACACTCTACCAAATGTATTAGAAAATGTACATCCTTCTGACTTGACAGAGCCTCACTAATACATGACTTGGTAAGTAGACCATGGGCTGGATTTCAGTTTCCCCTTGTCCTCTCAACTGAGCACCCTTATGCAGTACACAAACTATACAACCCTACATGGGGGAACTGAACACAGGCATTAGTCTCACCCATACTACAGAACATCATGCTGCTTTTATTTTTTTTTATTAAATTTTTTTTATTTTACTTTTCCGAGAGAGAGAGCGCACACAAAGAGGGGCAGGAGCAGAGGGAGAAGCAGACTCCCCGTTGAGCCGGGAGCCCAATGCGGGACTCAATCCCAGGACCCTGGGATCATGACCTGAGCGGAAGACAGACAGTTAACCAACTGAGCCACCAGACGCCCCCATCATGCTGCTTTTAATAAACATGTGGTAACTACGAGAGAAGTCATAATAGAAGGATGAAGAAGATTTATAAGAAAATCAAAGAAGAGGTGGCTAAAACTGAAGTAGGAGGAGTTTGTGGGAGTTGTCTTAGGATAAGTTGCCAAATGTAGGCCCTCTCTGCCAGGAACCCAAGACAAACACACTGGAACAAAGACAGATGCAAGAAAAGATTCTAAAAGTAGGTACCTCATAAAGTTTGGGAAAAAGAACTAACTGGTAAGGGGTAAGGGAGAGTAAAGGGAGCACCTACACCTTGTACTCCTATAGAGAAAAATTCACTAGAGGATTAATTTTAAAATTCTGATTAAACTGGTCTGGCAGCTGTAAGTGATGAGGAACTGTCACTTCTGAAAACATGATATCTGAGTTGAGGCTTATAAAAGTTTACCTTAACAATGGCTAATTAATTAAATGGTGACTATCAAATAAGCAAATGAGGAAATCACCCCAAGGAGTCACAGGATAAATTTAAATAAGCCACAGTGAAGAACTTGTGCCACACAAAATTACTAAATTTCAAAAATAGGCTTGGACAAGATTATGGATTACTTATAGAAAATACTGTAGAATATACTTATTCTCTGGAAAGATTTTTTTTAAATGAAATAAATATCTCTGCTTAAAGTGGTTTTGGATAAAGATAGGAAGAAAAAAAAGATAAGCTAAAATGATATTTTGGAGTATTTACAAGTAGAATTTATACTCATCTCTTTGAAATGATTTAGTGAAGAAAATAGAATATCTGAGATTTTAACTCATCTGTGTGCAAATGGTTTTACAGAGTTGGATGAGAGAGTCAGCACTGACTGAAGTGATAGAAAGGGCATTGTTGACCTCCCCATAGTCAAAAGTATCTTCTCCAGTGGTCTGTTCACAGGTGTGAAATTTTGTTATTGAAAATTTGTCATTGTTAGGGTTAAAATACGATAATGATCTCAGCATTACAGTACATTAACTATGAACAATCATTAATTCCTCATGTTAATTAAAATTCTTGACAGTTATCTAGGAGGCATCTAAAGAGGGCACAAAATTGTTTTTTGGAAAGGTTTGACTCGGTGGACACTGCAATTAGCATGCTCAAAATCTGTGAGTGAATAAATGACTGCATGTGTCTGTTTCTACATGTCTATAAATACCTAGCTATACATAGAACTAAAGAGCTACATACCTGGTCTGGTATTATATTTGATCCATTGTATCAGTTCTTCCTGAGGCAAATTATTAAATTCTCCTATTATGCTCCATTGATTATGGAGGTTTGCACAACCTTGTATTGACATCACTGTTAGAATGCCAAAGATAACATTCTCAAAGCGAACTCTGCAAAAAATCCATCCAAAGAGCTGAAATGAAAGAAACCATTTATTTTTAATTCTTATATGAAGAGTGCTATAGGGCCAATAATAAACTCTTACCTTGCTACTTAAACCAAGGTGGATTATCATTTGATATTATCAATGCACTAATAATATATAGAACTATGGTCACCTATTGTTTAAAAATAGTACATATTTTGGAATTATAGGGCCTAGTAAAAATGGAACTTTCTTTATCCTCAAAAGACTAAAGGAAGAAGCACACCTCATCCTTCTAGTACTGATTTACTACCAAGGATTAAGATTAGCAAATCACAAAAATGTGAAACATCCTAGAGCTAAATCCTGTAATATCTGGCTTTAATGGACATCTAAAATAACTATGGAAACCCCACTAGCAATAACACATATATTCCTTTCAGGAAAATGAGCATTATGATATTCTAACACAAGACTCTTTTCATCAAAACTAAGTAAGATGTTTCTAGAAGTACACTGGTCCCCAAATTCTAGTTTCTTTGTCTAGCTCTTCTGTATATCAACGGTAAGAGAATCCCAGAACAGACAACTTTTCCTAGGGGTTCTCTGAGCCAAACAGGACAATACTAGAGCAATTACCCTGCATCTACTCTAGCATTAGAAGAACACTTGAGGATCGTTTTGGTGGGCCAAGAAATTCTTGCCCAGACCTGAACTCTGTGGATAGAATACTAACATAGTATTCTGTGTCTGTGGATAGAATACTAACATAGGGGAAAGTGTACCTTGTCACTTATCATAAGAGTATCAGTTAAAATCTAGGAATAATTTTCAAAGCTACTGGAAATTGCTTTTATTATTCATAACTGATCATGAAATAACCTTTTAAATCATTTAAACCAAGTGTTTTTATATTTTGGATTAGTCAGCAAAGGCATGGTATCTACAGAGCTGTTGCTACAGTTACTATAGTGGAGTGACACAAAAATGAATACGTTACCCTTCGAGAGCATATCAAGGAAGCCATAACACACATGTGAGGTGTTAAAAACAACTTCAGCCTCATGATTAAAACGGCAAGGACAGTGAATGCTAACAGTTGCAATGTGTGAAAAATCAGCTGTAAAAACAAAACAAAATATTTCCACTTTATATATTTTTAAATTAATATATATTAAAACTATTATCACTCATTAGGACAAGGATCTTTTAATTTAGTAGTAAGTCTGGTAATATTTATTCATTCATTCAACAAAGATTTAGCAAATGTGTATTATATGCCACGTACTATTCTGGGGGCTTTGGATACAAGAGTGAACAAAACAACAGTGAGTGATTTCTGCGCTTGTGAAGCTTACATTTTAGAACATTTAGTAAGGAAAGACAAAAATAGTCATGGCAAGTAAATGAATCCATTATATAGTCTCTTAGAAAGTGGCAAATGCAGTGAAGAAAGTGGAACAGGGAAAGGGGACTGGGAGTGCAGGGTGTGGTGTGAGGTTCCAGTTGCAATTGCAAGTAGGACAATCAGGGAGGGCCTCATTGAAGAGGTGGCATTTGAACAGGCCCCTCACAAGGTGAGGAAGTGAGCCACAGAGACATACAAATATGGAATGCTTCACAAATTTGCGTATCATTCAGTCAGCAACAAAAATTGTAGCAAAACATAATCTAGATTATTTTTAAAGTAATGGAATTATATATATAAATATTTGTACTGATGAGTAGGACACCCATTTTATTAAGACGGGGTTCCACTGAGCAAAGGTTTCAGACAAAACTTTTCTAACAGACATATTCATAAAATATCAACCAATTCTTCACTAGAAAAATAGACAAAGAATGCAACCAAAATTTAATACATATTAACTAAATATGTTCTAACTTGCTAATATTCAAATTAAACATTAAAGGTAACAAGATATTTTCACCTATAAAATGGACAAATATTAATACTGTTAAAGAAGATGCCATACACTAAAATAATTGGTACATTTCTGTAATTTAGCATTATTTATCAAGATGCTACAAAAGAGCCAACCCTTTTGACTTAAATTTCCATTCTAATTTAAGGGAATAATCAAGACCAAAAAAATGCCTGTACAAAGATGATCACTGAAGTGAATTTTTAGCAGCAAAAATACTAACAACCTATGTGACAGGAATAAGTAAGTTACCACATTTCCCACATGCATACAGCCATTAAAAGATTACATGTTAGTAGATTATTTAATGGCATGGATAGTTTTCAATGTGTATAATTATGTACATACGAAATTATTAATTTTGTGAAAACCATCTATGTGTATATATACATGCATGTGTGGGGTGGAGAAGGCTACAAAAATATGTACCTAAAAAGTTAATAGAGGTTATTTCCCTAATGGTGACTTTTCTGAATTTTCTAACACTTTTTAAACACGTGTTATTTTAGAATTAGAAATATCTGATTTATGTTTAAAACAGAATGCAAAGCTGTGTTTTTCCTTTTTAAGTAAATATGTTCACTTAAATGAATGTGCTAATTTTTTCATAATTCTTGAATCCAAAGTTGGGATGTGGAAGATTTATTTCAAAATCAATCCTTCATTTTTCTTTAGTCAAACTCCTCTTTGGACAAAGTCGGGGGCATGTTGTGGAGGGAACAAAAAAACATCAACACACTTCACACCTAAATAGGTCTTTTTGGTTAGGACCATTAAATCACAGACTGGTAGATTACATGGGCCATCTTCTTTAATCATCTATCCAAAGCAGGGATCTCTTCTGTAAATCTATGAACTGGTTATTCACTAATTCCTGAAAAAGAATATGCCATAGAAGTGCCTATTATAATTATGGATAGCTGTAAATGTTAGAAAATCTTTCCTAAGACTGAACCAATGTCTCCCCATAATTTCCACACCTCTGCAACTGCACAAAATTAGTCTAACCCATTTGCACATGACAGTTCTCTATTATCCAAACGCTGCACTCATGACTTTGCACTAATCCCACCTTCACCCTTAGAAAGCTATTTTTAAGCTAAATATTCAGAAACTTGGATCATTAGTTCTGTGGTATCATAATTCTGGCTGCCTTGCTCTGGACATGGTACAGATCGCCCATGTTTTGTTAAAATGTGGCATCTAGAAACAGACTACCATAGATGTGGTTCTAATTTATGAAAGTGTACATCTGACTTCTCCCAACATGCCTTCCTTTGGTTATCCTAAGCCACAGGATGAGACTACCATCGTCTCTCCGAAATCCCATCACTTGTACTCTTTTTCCATCACTTCTACTTTAGCACCAACTGCTCATATGACAAGAATTAAATCCAAAGGAGTAATTCTTCTTGACTTTCCTCTATTATCTAAAGGCTGAAAAGACTCTGTTTTCATATGGACATCTGAAAGATCCTCACCATTTCCTTATCTTCCCTGCATGTTTTTTTTTTTTGGGGGGGGGGGGGGGAATGACACAGAACAACCATTCCAAATGGCACCACTTATGTTTGTTTTCTATTGTTATCCACATGCTCTAACCACTCTACTCACAGGCTACTGACTTTCCATGGACCTCTCTTGCCATAGTTATTTTATCTCCTATTCTATCAAATAGTTTTCTTTTTAACTACTAAGTAGAAGACAGAGGGCTACAGTCAAAAAGCACAGTCCAAAATCCTTTACTACCCTACCATCAATTTGTTAGTACCTCTTTCCACATAAAAATTACTAAGAAAATCCTCACATCTTTTAGAGGCTGGAAGCAAGGGAAGAAGAGAAGCTCAGGAAACTGTTCACTATCCATCCTTGATATAAGTGAGCCCAACTGGGTAAAGTATAAGGTAGCAGCTCCCAAGCATAAAGAAAACAAAGACTAAATGTAGAAGGCCAGTCCAAATGGCAGACTGTCCCTGTCAAAACTACCTTCCACCACAGTTGTGGAGATGTCTTGAAAACATGGTAGAGATACCCTTCACTGGCATAGTTAACAGAAGACAGAGTATTAACTGGAGCCCCAGAGGTCTTGGTCCAGAAGGTACGCAAGTTTAAAAGTGGGCATGTACACAGTGATTAACTTAACACTAGGCATTATTGTAACTCTCTTACATATAACTCATTTAATCCCACAGCCACCATATGAGATAACTATTGTTATTACTGCTGTTTTGGTTGTTCCCGAAAAGATGTAATGTAACTTGGCTATGATCACACGGCCAGTAAGTGGAAGAACAAGGATCTGGGGCCAGCCAACTCCCAAGTCTGCTTCTTTAACCACTACACTATGCTTCCTCTCCAGACAATAAAGTATTCAACCACATGGTTCTATTAGTCTGAGAACATAGAAGTGTACAGATCCCCCAACATATATCACTCAATCCATTTTTCAAAAGAAGTAATTCTTCCCTGAAATTCTGATTACCTTTTAAAAAGCCATCCTTTTTATGGCCAACAGGACAAATATATATCTACAACTCAGATCTGATTATACCTAATCTCTTGCTTAACAACAAAGTCCAGGATAGAGTTCAGCTTCTTTGCATACAAAGTCATCGTGGTCTGAACCTATGTCATTTTCTGCTACTTCTTGCATTTTCTATGCATCAGCAGTCCTGATTTGTCTGTAGCTCTGAACATAACGTATTACCTTATGCCTTCTTTGTACATGCACATGCTTTGACCTTGGTAAATTCCTCCTTTAAGGTCATTAAAAAAAAAAAATCTGTTCCTAACTACCCCATCTCCTTCACACAAATTTAATCACTTCTTCTGTACTACTTTTCTACCTACTTCCTTTGTCAAGGCACATATAATTATCTGTTCACATTGCTTGTCTTCCTCCACTACACATTAAATTCCACAAAAGCAGGGACCTGGTGTATAATAAGCACATAATAAAGATTGAACTGATTAGTATGCAGAATTAACATAAAAAAATTAAAATGGGCAAAATAAAGATAAATGGAGAAATGAAAGACAATAAGAAAGCAAAATTCATGTGAGAAAAGAAGGCAGAAAATTAAGGAATATTGTGTTTCTAAAAAGCAGTGGGAGCACTGGGTATTATCCACAAACAATGAATCATGGAACACTACATGAAAAACTAATGATGTACTGTATGGTGATTAACATAACATAATAAAAAAATTTTTTTTAATAAATAAAGTTAAATGAGAAAAAAAAGCAGTGGGTTTTAAATACCATACAATAAATATAAAGTATGAATGTGCACTGTTAAGTAAAACTGGGCAATGTGACAGGACTGATGTGCTTAACAGAATGATTAACAGCAGGGACTCTGCTGCCACATGGCCTAGGTTCATAGGCCGTGGTTCCACAGAGCTAAGGTCCCTTCAGCTTTGTGACCCTAAGTTACTCAACTTCTCCATGCCATCGTTTTCTTTCACCTGTAAAATATATAGAATAACTGTACTTACCTCAACGGGTTGTTGTGTGAATGAAATTATAACTATATGTAAATCACTTCCCCAAAAGCCCTGCACATAGGAAGCCATAAGTTCTGACTACTACTTTGAAGGCACTGGAAGCAGACTGTTAGTGTTCAAATGCAAGCTTTACTACAAATTAGTGGCAGACCTGAGGAAAGTTATTTAATTTCCGTAGGTCTCTATTCCGTGGCCAAGACCGCTTTGCTTTTCTTCTTAGACATGCAGCTAGACTCCATTTCCCAGCTCCCTGCAGTCAGGTGTGGCTGTGTGCCTGAGGTCTGGCTGAGGCCAGGAAGCTTACATTTCCATTTCCAGGCCCAGCCCTTACAAAAGCTCTAGTGCATGATCTTCCCTGTGCTTTCTCCTTCACTGCCTTGATGCAGACAAGCACATCAATCCTCCAGGGCAGTCTTCCCTGTTCTTTCTCCTTTGCTGACGTGATGCAGACAAGCACATCGACCTCAGAAGCTACACACTGCAGATGGCCGAGCTATAAATGGAAGGAGTCTGGGTTCCTCAATCACTGCTTGTTGGGAGGGCCACCCACTAACCAGGAACTCCTCGTTTCAACTTTATGTGCGCAAAGAATCAAACTTTACTGAGTTAAGTCCTTGAAATATTAGTGTTTGTCTCTGTTAACAGCTACTTTCTTCTAATTAACATAATTTTCTGATTTGCAAAATGGG